TGCCCGGCCACCCGGCGTTGCTTTCCCAGCTGTTGGGGTGTCCTAGGGGGTCTCTCGGGGGTCCTTTGTCCCATCTCGTCCTGCCAGTTCGTGATGCCCCCCCTGCCCTGCCTCTCCCAAGGACTGGGAGATCGCGGAATCGTTCCCCCATAAAACACTGGGGGGTGGGGAAAGGCTGAGGAGGAGGGGGGGATGCAGGAAGTTTTGTGGTGATGCCCCAGAATGGGGCATCTGTCAGATGTGGGACAGATGAACATCCCTGTTGGAGGGGTCCATGGAGCGACCCCTGCCTGCAGAGTGGGTTGGCACTTGTCACAGAGACAGCTGGGTGGACAGAGGGACAGAGTCCCCAAGGACGTGGCAGCCACTGTACGACTTCAGCAAGAGTCAGGGCTGCAAGTGCCTGGCTATCAGCCACCCATGGGGGTGCAGGGTCCCAGCCCCTGGACAGGGATAGGGGCACCAGGCTGGCAGGACAGTAGCTGGACAAGGAGGGGGATATTGGGGGCCTTGGGAAAGGGGGATGCCTGAACATCTCCCATGTGCCCTGACAGGGTGTTGGGGCTTGGGGCAGGAGGGCTGCAGCACCCCCAGCCCGTGTCCTGGTCCAGCAGGGGCTGCCTTATCTCCTGGCCAGCACAGGACGTCTCCCTGCGGCCACAGGACCTGGGAGCCAAGCCCAGCCCAGGGAACCCTCCTGTGGTGTCGGAGGCTGTCGGGAGTCCCGACCAGGCACACTGCCAGCACAAAGCACCCCAACACGTTCCCCTGATGGTGTGGCCATGGGGCCTGGCAGGCGGAGCAGCTCCGGGCTGTACATGGGGCTCACTCTGCTTATCTGTGTGCGCCTGGGCTGGGCGCGGGCTCTGCTCCACAGCCCTCGCAGAAGCTGCTGGACCAGCCCCACTGGCAGCTCTAGGGTGGCGGGGGATCTTCCAGGGACTCCCCCACCTCAAGCCCTGCATCTGCCCCAGCCTCCTCGAGACCCCTCTGGGGCTGAGTGTGAGACTGGGAGCACTGGGAGCTGGCTCTGACCAGGTTCTGACCGGTCACCTGCAAACAAAGGGCGGCAGAGCCGGCTAGAGCACTGGGAACAGAAGGGGGTTATTTTTAGAAAAGCACAAGTCCTTATAAATAGCAGCAGCTTCAGACAGTGATCAAGTGGGATGGATTCACAAGCATTTGCTCAGCCCTTCCCCTCCACAGCCTCGTCAGTGGCTTCCCTGGGCCGGGCCCTGCGGATCCTGGTGGCTGCCGGGACCGGTGGGAGCACTGAAGCAGCTGGGCTGAAAATCCAGGAGCGATGGATGAATGAGGAGCTGAACGCTCAGGAGCCCTCACGCTGCCTCAGTGCTGTATCCACCCTGACCGCTCGCAGCCTCCTGCAGGCGGGTGATGCCCAGGGAACGCCAGCAACGCTGGGAGGTTGATGAAAGCCCTTGTCCGGGGGCTGCAGTCCCCACGCTGTGTGTGCCGCCACCAGCCAGAGCCTCTGCGTGTCCCCCCACCCTGTCCGGCCGCGGCAGCCCCTGCAGTGGTGTCCACAGGCAGATCCTGCTGTGGCTCCAGCCCTTCCTGCTGCCCTGCCCACGTTGCTCTCGCTGGCCATTCCTTCTCCCCTCCGCACTGCGCCGTGTGCCCGGCGGGGCGGGCAGCGGCACTCGGGGCTGGCCGGCGTGAGGCACTGCAGGAATCCAGAGGCCCCGATGATGCTCTGGGTGTTTCCCGTGCCAGAGCCGCTGGTCTGACCGCATGCCTTTCCCATTAGCGGCCGAGCAGGAGTTCGGCGGTCGGGGCACACACACGCCAGCCCAGATGTGGCTTCGTAGCCCGGCTGCAGCCGCCCCCCGGGCTCATCCTCACGTCCTGCAGTGTTCCTCCACCCGCCAGCCCGCAGTGCCGGCCACGGGGCCGTTTGTCCTCGTTTGTGCCACCAGGCAATCGGGTACCCACGGACAGCACTGTCCTGGCCCATTCCTGCCCCTGCAGACCTCTGCCCGTGTGTCTTTGTCCACCATAACACAATGTGTGCTGTCGCTGCCACTTTGCCACTCCAGGAGCCTCGCCAGCCTCAGTGCCCGGCGTGTGCCGGGGCCGGGTGCTGCGGGAGGCAGCTCAGGTCCCCGGGGCACTGCGGGCGCGTTGGGGATGGATGCACGGGCAGAGCTGCCAGTGAAGGGAGGACACACATGAGGGTTGTGCTTGGCATCGCTCCCGCACAGCCCGGCTCCTGGGAAGTGGCTGGACCCTGGGGAGGAGAGGAGTAAAGATCAAACCTTCCTTGGATCAGAGGTTCCCCCTCCCACTCCCAGCTTGCGCAGCAGCCCTTGTTCCTGCTGGCTCTGGGTGAGGATCAGCAGCTCCCTCTCTCTGGAGGCACACTGCGGCCACAGACCCAGCACTGGGGCAGGGCCCCTCGGGGAGGTTGCCTGTCCGTCCCTCTCTCATGCCATGCTTCCCTGTCCTGCAGGCATCGTCGAGATCCGGTCGGTGCGTGTTGGCGTCGTGGCCATCCGGGCGGTGCACACCGGCTTCTACCTGGCCATGAACAAGCGGGGGAGGCTCTACGGGTCGGTAGGTCGGACGCTGCCTCCTGGGAGGGACTGCACCAGAGCCAGAGGCTCAAGGGCTGGTTTCCCTTGCCCTGACCTGCTCCCCAGCAGGGGACTGCACCCACCAAGCCCCTCTGCCCCCCGGGTATCAGGGAGGAGCCAGGGTCCTGCCCTGCCCCGCTCTTGGGGTCCGAGGGCCACCAGCTGAGCATAGCCACCCCTCACCCTCTTCCCTCTCCTGCCAGAAGGAGTTCAGCCCCAACTGCAAGTTCACGGAGCGCATCGAAGAGAACGGCTACAACACCTACGCGTCGCTGCGCTGGCGGCACCGCGGCCGCCCCATGTTCCTCTCGCTCAATAGCAAGGGCAGGCCGCAGCGAGGGGGCAAGACACGCCGGCAGCACCTCTCCACACACTTCCTCCCCATGCTCGTCAGCTGAACACCGTAGGCAGCTCCGGATGGTCCTGTAGGGAAAAAAAAAAAAACCAAACAAAAATATGTTATTTTATTTATGTACATATCTATTTTTTGCTATTTATTGCTTTATTTTTAATGCACGGCAGAGGATGGATGTGGAAGGCAGAAGCTCCAGACTCAGGCGTGCTGCAGGGCTGTGGCTCTCCCACCGTTCCCCTGGTGCAGAGCCTGTGTGGTGCTGCCGAGGAGTGTGACTGGAGCAGGGGCCAGGATGTGCTAATGGCATCTCTGCAGGGCTGGGATGTACCAGCAGGTTGTGTCCGAGCATCCGTGGCAATTAAAACTGTGTTCATGGTATGGAACAGGAGCAGGTCTTGGAGCTTTGATGGTGAACTTGGCTTGGGATGGGAGGGATTGGCTCCCGTGTGGATGTGGCTGCAGCCACCAGTGTCATCCCTGCTGCCATTGGCAGGGAGCCCAGCTGGTCCTTTGCCACACCCAGCTTTTCACCGACCCCCACCCACCCTGCAGGAAAACAGCAATGGTGGTTCAGTGGCACAAAGGAGGGAGCAGGAGGAGCAGGAGCCAGCCCAGATCCTCAGCCAGACACACCTCCAGGGCTGCCCCTGGCCAAAGCCAATGCCAGTGTCAGTTCTGCAGCCCAGCTCTGTGCTCTCATCTCCAACAAAAACAGGGCTGGGACAGTGGACAGTGGACAGTGGTGAGGACCAGCCCCTCACCTGGAGGGCAGTATGGCCAGGAATAGCACCTGCACCTCAGTGTCCTGGTCAGGGTACATCCCTGCGCCACCTCACACCTGCTGTGGCCAGGCCCAGCAGCCCGGTCACTGTCACGTCAGACAGAGCAATGGCCCCAGCAAAAACCACCAAACTCGTTCTATTTCTGACCCAACCAGCTCCAAACGAGTCTGAGAGGGAACTGACACTGTATTAACCATGTGGTGACTGTGGTGAGCCCCTGCCAGGTGGGCAGCAGCTGCCATGCACCCACCCAGGACATTGCTCGGCCACTTGGAACCCATCTGAGCACTGCTCACACATGAGCAATCATCCCCAAGCGCCTGGGGGAGCCAGGAACCCCCATCACAGCTGAAACACAGTGGGAGAGGGAAAGTTTTTCCAGGTCTCTTGTTTTGGCAACTAAACAGCAAAGCCTTCCCCCAGTGTCAGATCAGCTGATGGACACGTGCAGGTTCAGCCAGGACCTTCTTGCTGCCGCCCACCTCACCAGCCCAGGCTTCTGGCTCAACCCCTGGCAGAGGATGAGCCATTAACCCCGACACACCAGTCCTGAGATAAACCCTCCTGTGAGATGAAAGGCGCCGCCACGCTGCCTGGCCAAGCCAAGGAAGAAAAACAGTCCGGGCAAGTCACTCCCTGTCAGCCCCTGGCCCTGGCACAGTTGGTGACACTTTCTCCAACAAAGCAATTGCTTGTGTTCTGAAATGGCTCAAGAAAGGCCAAACCATCCTTCCCCCTCCTGTAGGAGGTTCATCTCTTCTCAAGAAGCTCATGGAAGGGCCAGGTCCTGGGGTGATGCTGGTTTAGAAGAGACACCCAAGCTCTGCTGGAGTCAGCACCTTCCCCAGCAGCCCCAGCCCACTCCCAGGGCCCCAAAAGCCAAGGGAGAGGCAGGGAACCCCAAAAAATGCCAAACCCTCCACCCACTTCCCTGGCAGCTCCCGTGGGGGCAGGTTCTCCCTCGTATGCTCTGGCCTCTACCACAGAGCAGTCCCAACATGTGGCACCATCACGGACCCCCAGCCCTTTAGGAGATCTCCTGACCACCCCAAGTCCCTGCGAGGGGAAGGGGCTCCCGGTGATGGATGGTGAGAGCTCCTCTTCTCATGCCTCAGGGCCCAGGAAGCAAGGACATGGCAGGGAGTCACTGCCCACTCCAGTGACATTGTTGTCATTCTCTGAGCTCCAGCTCTGTCACAGAAACTGAGTCACAAACATACCTGGATATTTGTCCCTCTCTCCTTGTTTTAATCAGCTCTATTTTAAGTAGCTTTGCAATACATTTTTTTTTTCTCCAAAATGTTTTCCTGGTAATTACTCGGTCACAATGAGATTTGCTGGTCCTCGTTCTGCTGCACACCCAGTCCTGTGTTGGCCCAGCAGAACAGCCTGCCCCAACTGCGAGGGGGGGCAGGACTGTAAAGGGAAGAAGGTGTAAAAAATAGAAAACACCAGGCGAGGATGCTTCCAGCTGCGATCCTTGGCTACCTGTGCAGTGATCCACAGGCTGGCAGTGGCTCCCACTGGAACTCCAGGCATGCAGGAGGGCTCAGAGAGGCCCCACCTGCCCAGGGGAGGCAGGACAGCTTGGTGGCCTCAGAGCTTACCCTGTAGCTTTCCTCAAATCATGCATAACGGCTCGCAGAGCTGAAATGTCCATTTATTGACAACAGTAATAATTTAAGATTATAAAAACCCCTTTCAGTGTTGAGTATCAGTGGGCGAGGTTATAAAGAGAAATAAATGGGACTTGAGATGGGACAGGGAAGGATCCTGGGGTCTACTTGAGAGTTCCTGTTTCAGTGACAGCTATTGGTCCTCCCCAGATGGCGATCCTGGGGGGAGGCAGCATCCTTATGCTTCCGTTTTAGACTTCAATCTCCAAAGCAGAAAAGATAGTATCCAAGGGGAGGAGGAGCAAAAGAAATAAAAGAAAGGGATCTCAAATTCAAACCCATACAAACAACCTTTCCATTCGGGATTCAACCACTCGCTCAGCACCTCAGGGTTCCCAGCCAGGGAGCGCAGCAGCTTCGCACTGCAATGGGTAAAGTCCACGCAAAGAGGATGTTTTTATTGACAGACAGAGCTCTTTCCCCCCTTTTTCATCACAGAACTTGAGGCTTCTCATCTCTGAAGGACCCAGAGTCTCCGTGTCTTCAGAAATCAAAAGGAAATTCTGGGGGCACTGCTCCTGCCTCATCCCCTCCCCTCGCTCTGCTCTGGAAGCCCCTTTGGCTGCTCACGGTGGCCAGGGAGGGAGGGGGAACAGTGGAAGGGCCCCAGGGACAGAGGGTGCATTAAGATTCATGAGTTGTTCGATGAGTTTTCATTACTTGGTGAGCTGGAGGAAGAGGAGGAGGAGGAGGATGACGAGAAGTTCATCCCTGTGAGTCCTGGGGGGTTTGTGGCAGTGTTTTGTCCACTTAAACTTTTCCGGCAGACGGGACACGTGTCATGCTTTGGGGAGCAGACAAAAAACAAAACAAGAAATATGGGAAACGGGATTAGAAACACAACAGGGGAGCAGCACTCGAGGAACGGGCTGGGATGACACTCCATCCTCTGACCTCAGGCTGCTCGTGCTCAGGCCTCATCATGGAGGTAGGAAAATATTTACACAAGAGAGCAGGACCAGACAAAGCCCCCAGTGCTGCACACCCCAGGCACTGCCACGCACTCACCTGCTCCAGCCACGGGACGATGCAGCCGTCATGGAACAGGTGATTGCACGGTAACTGCCGCACGTTCTCACCGACTGTGTAGTCTTCCTTACACACAGGGCACTCCAACCCGGAATCTGCAGTGCACAGGGAAAGCCAAACCCAGCTGAGTAAAGGAGGAGAGAACCACGCACAAAGCCCCAAACTCAGGACTCCTCATCCCTCTCCCCTTCCCCACATCCCTGGCAGGAGGACAGCTTGGTGCTCTGCAGTCCCCACATCATCACCCCACCTCCTCCAGCCCTGGGTATGCCTCATCCTTCCCTTCTGCTTTTCCATCTCTATCCACACTGAACTTCTCACAACCTCCCCAGGGCAAATCCATCCAGCCTACACTGCTCTTTTTTCGTGTGAGTGCAACAGAGCCCCTTCAGCTCTCTGCCCACTTTGAAATGCTTTATGCCTCAAAGGTACAAGCAGACAAAAAATCAAGTCCCAAGAAAACATTACACAGAGCTTCCAGGGAGCACTCTGTGCATGACTCCATGGAGCAGACACGTACCTACGTGCTCCTGTGTGATCTGTATGGTGGGGAGGGCCTGGATCTTTTCTTTGTCCGCTGGCGGCGGTCCAGTGTTTTCAAACTGATTCAGTAACTGGAAAAACAACCGGCCAGGCAGGCAGAAGAGAGAGGTGAGCTCAGCAGCACACAGAATCCACTCGTTTCCTGAGCCAGGGCACTGGGACCCTGCACTGTGGACCCTTTCCCATTCCAGTCCCTGCAGCCCCTCATTCCCTGCACCACCACAGGTGCTGTCCTTCGTGCTGCACTGCACAGGAGGATGGAGACTGCGGTGAATCCCACTTTTACCTGTGTGATAATTGCATCCAGGCCGTTGGCACCCCAGGCGTAGTCCATCGGATTTGAGTGCAGGACACCCCTGAAGAGCAAGGACAGCAAGTGAGTTCATCCTGGAGCATCAACGAGACACTGTCAGAGAGAGCAGCACATCCTCCAACTCACCAAGGGCCCAGGCCTAGGTTTGGAATTGTGGTCGGTGCAATAATTCCATTGACCAGCTGCTGGATAATTCTGAAAGACAAGAAAACCAGTTTTGTGTAAGAATTAAAGTTTGCTGGCTCCCAGCCCAGCACCCCAGCATGGAGGGAGAAGCTGAATGAGCTGAATACTGTCACACTCTTGGGGCAATTAAAAATACCCTGCAGCAATTGCAATGGCAGCTTATGGAGTGATCAGCACTGATAAAGTATTTGATTCATAAGGAGACAATTCCTGACATGATGGCAAGTGGTTCCCAGGATGCACTTAACAAACACTGTCTGGTGTTCTCTTCTGTTTCCCCTCACAGGAAGTACAACATTTTTGCAACATCTGGCAATGACCAGGGAATATTTTCCCACTACAGGACAAACTCCCAGCCACAGTCCATGTCATCACTCAGCAGAAACAGCCCCAACAGACCCCAAGCAGGAGCTGCCCACAGGCTCAGGTGGGACACACACGGCTCCCATGGCAGCGCTGGAGAGCTCTGGGATGCTGCTCCCACAAACCAGGAGAAAAGGTGAGGAACAAGGGGGTTGTCTCCCCAGGTGCCAGAGCAGTTCTCACCCTTCCAGCGTGGGGACGCCCTCGTGCCTGCCCGAGGCTCGGCGCGTGGCCAGGCGGGCGCGGGGCTGCCTGGCCCCGTAGCGGTGCCGGGACTGGTGCTCGCGCTCCCGCCGGTTCTCCGAGTCCCGGTTGTCTTCCGGCTGCACGTTGGACCCGAAGGGAAACTCAAAGCTGTCGTCAAAGAACCCGAAAGCAAACTGGCCATAGCCCGGGGGCAAGGTGAACAAGTGCTGATCCACATTCTGGGAGGGAGGGAGGGAGGGAATGTAGAGAACAGACTGTGACAAGAGAAGGAACAGCCTTCGGCTCCCACCGTGTCCCAGCAGCCGCCCACAGCGAACCCCAGGCCTGGGGTGACACTGGGACCAGCACCCTCGGCAGCAGCTCAGTGAGGAACAGACACTGGAACTGCACATGAAAGCAGAAAAAAAAAAATCACAGTTCCCTGGTTTCTCTTTGGTGTGTCACTGCTGCTTCCGAGCTGAGGCTACTGCATAGCAACACACCCAAATCCTGCTGAGCCCCCTCATGACAGGAATCAGCTACAAGTGATGGTCCTACGTAACAGACACAGCAAAAATGTGGTATGCAGAGATTTCAGGAGCAGCATGTGGAGGATATTAATTCCTCCTTTCCAGATTCTGTCATGATCTGGGGAAGGTTTAAACAATGCGCTATTGGAAAAATACTCGATCCAACAGCAAAGCAGAAGGTGTTGGAAGAGAGAAAGGACTTGCTCACCTCGAAAGGATGCCTGCTCTGATCAGTGGCTGACGTAGAGGAGCTGGTCTCATTGTCAGCATTCCTATGGGGAATGAAGAGCACTGATAATCTTCTCATAGCAGCTTCCAAGGCTTTTCTGCCCCCCTCCCATCCCAGGGCAGAGGCAGCTCAACAGAACCCGATCTTCCCTCAGCTGCTGATCTTCTTATTACCCAGATCAGTTTTCCCTCCCTGAACCTTTCATTTTCCAACATCCTCACCCATTTCTCCCTACCCCATTAGATCTTATGAAGCTGCAGAGAAGTTCCTGAACCATGATGTCAAGCGAGGATTTCCCCCACAATCCATCTCAAACACACCAGCTAATCCTCCGGAGCACCAGGAAGACTTAAGGCACAAACGCTGATCTCTGTGACCCCAAGACATATAAGTCTAATCTTGAATCAAAGAAACTTCTCTACTGCAGAGGTACATAACCCAACGGCTCAGGATATTGGGAAAACTCTAAATGTTGTCAGACTTCTGCTTTCAGAGCTGCAGGAACACTTCCTGCTCAGAACCAAGCTTTGCTTTCACGGTACCGAAACCACTGAAATTCAGCAACTACACGACTCTCCCAAGGTCACAGGGAATCACCAAAACAGTCAGGATCAGTCAGGATGGCTTTTCAGGCTCCAGGGTTTGTGTGGTCAAACAAAACATCACCTGCTCACTGCAGAAGCCCCAGGCCATGCAGACTACCACAATCAGCAGGCAGCAACACCCACTGCCCCTGGCCCCTGCACTGCCTGTGGCCTGTCCTGGAGCCGGTCACAGCTGGGGCCCCACAAACATGACTGAAACATTTTAAGACATTCCTGCTGCTCCTGCCACCAGTGGCAACACAGCACAGAAATGCAGATTTCACTGCTCCAGGGCATAGTCCAAAGTCTCAGCCACTACATTTTGCTGCTCATCCTCAACACAGTCACTACTTACGTTGAGGTGTCCGTGTGCTCACCATTCCCAGATCACTCTCTCTGGGGTTATCTCTGCCCTGATGACTCAGATCAGGTCAGAGCTACCACACAGCACAGGGAAAGCCTCCCTACCACTTCTTTATGTTTGTTTGAAATCAAACCATTCCTGCCCTGCCCCTCAGCAGAGATGTCAGATGCTCAGCATTGCTGTGGTAGATTGGCCTGTGGATGCTAACTCTGCCAACAAAGCACTGTGTTCCAAAAGTGAGGAAAGATGAACCAAAGCTGGGGCAGAAGCAACAGAAATGGTGCATTTTATATCAAACATTGCCTTTGAACTAGGAAGAGAGCAAAGCAACCTGGGCTCACTGGGGCACCAGCCCCTGGGGCAGCACATTACCTCGGCTCCTCGGGAAGCTCTTCAATAAAACCAGACTCACACCGTGGGCAGATGTAGTCCTGCAGGAGAAAACACACCAGGTGAGAGAAGGAAGTGGTACCTCAGAGCTGCAGGGTATGACAGGGTGGGAGAGTCCTGCAGTCTGCCATCCTCAGCACATGCCACGGCCCCAGAGCCAGAGAGACCTCAAACCCCAACATTTGCCTTCCTGAGCCAGTGGCAGCTCAGCTTAAGAATGATGAGAGTACAAATGATGATGTCCCCAGTACAAATACAGCATTAGCTACCAGCTGAAGCAGTTCCAGTGAAGTGAGAGTGAAACCCCCGATGCTCCCTGCACAGTAACCTCAAACTTTGGCCCAGCTGTGTGTGTTTAGGGAGCAGAAAACAATGTGGGAATGGCAGCATAGAGTTGGCAACGTCGTGGTGCTCAAGGAGGCTGAGTGGTTCCTGTCACCAACACAGCCTGGGGTTCACAGCACACAGGGACACTCTGGGTCATTCTGCAGCCAGGACCTCACACTCCCACACCCAGAGTTCACTACAGAGACCTGTTGCCACCCCAGTCCCCTGGGCATTGAGTGTGCCAGGACAGACAGGCTGAGGGTGCAGCTCCTGTGACAGCCACTTCCTCACGATTCCTGGGGTTAGTGAGGAATTTATCCTCTACTACCAGCCTGTCCTGGGCAGAGCAGCCCAGAATGCTTGAGACCCTGAAAGGGAACTGTTTCACTTTCCAGTGCTCAAGAAACAGCACTGAGCCAATCCCATCCCCTGCCCCACAGTGGGCACACACCACCCCAAATCCCTGGGCTGGCAGGGCTCAGCATAGAAGGCATTTAAGAGCTTCTAAAAATAATGCCACTTCCTTCTGCTGCTGCATTGGAATTGGCACAGTCCTTAGCCAGACTGAGGGATTCCCTCATGGAGTTGAGGCTGTTGATAAGGCCCTTGGGGTCGCTCCTCTAGCTCCTGAAGCTGACTCCCGTAAGGCTCCAGGGAAGAGGGAAGGAGCACAGCTTGGAGCCACTGCACATGCTCCATCTGCTCAGGGAAATACCTGCCCAGGGAGCTCTGAGGCTCAGGAACAGATTGGGAGAGGTGGCTGCTCCCTCTCCCACACAGGACTCCCCATCTGCCTCTGTAGAACAACCATCTCTGCACCACTGACACCAGGTCTGAGCTCAAGCACTCCTGTGTGAGCACAGGGAGCCTCAGCCCATGAAAATCCCTGTCCATGGAACCCCCTTTGCGTTGTTTCCCAGCAGCACAAACTGGTGGGGACACACATGGCACGGCGGTGATTGACCGTGGCCTGAGCTCCAGGGAGCTGCTGTGTGCTGTGTGTGTCTATGTGCTCACAGCCAGCTCCCAGCACAGCGATCAGCACATTCCTCTGCAGCTGGAACAGCATAAATGTCAAAGTTTGTTGTTTCTCGGGCTGTTTGAGTCCCTCCTTTGGCAGCTCTGGTTACTGCGCCTGCAGACGGTGAGTGAAACCCGAGTGAACCTGGATCCCCAAAACAAACTCATGAGCTCAACAGACCTGAGCCCCCAAACACGGCACTCACTCCCTGCCTGGCCCAGTCTGGCCAAGAGTGCCCAGCTGGCACAGCCAGGTGTGCCCAGCCAAGTGCACACAAGATGTGAGCACGGCCCAGCACGGGGTGTTTGAACAGAAAGAAATAACAGATTTTCTGGATTACCCCCTGGCTCCTGCCCACAGCCCATGTGTGCTCAGCAGGAGCACGGTCAGGGGTTTGTCCTCACCCTTACACAGGAGCTGGGAGGCCCTGGCATTGCCCACCCTGGCTCAAACGAGAGGGCAAAAGGACAAATCACGCGTCACAAACCAACCACCCCCGGCACGGACAGCTCTGCTTGTCCTCAGAGGCTTTTCAAGTTGACTGCCAGCAACCAGCAATGACTTTTAGACAAGGTGCTGTGAAAAGTGTCGGGATAAAGAGACCAGCAGGACTCTCCAAATCACATTTAACATCTCAGGAAGCCGAGCAGTGGAGCAAGTGATCCACCAGATCCTCCCCAACAGCCCACACTCCTTTTCCACCCACACCAGGACAAACTCACACACGCCGGATTTCGGTGTGTGATTAAAGCACCTGCCCAGGTGCCTACACAGCACTTCTACCTACGTATTACCGTGCACCTCCCGCTCCCCAGCCACCACCACCGCGGGGCTTCTGTCGTGTTCATTACCCGCTCCTGAAAGGCGACCGAGAAACACCCCCAGCACCGCGGGGCTCCGCCTGGCACCGGCTGGGCTCAGGCTGCTGAGGCCGGGGGTGTCACAGCTGGACGCCGGGGCTGCTGCCGGACGGACTCCCGCCCCAGAGCGGCTCCGCGGCAGGGCCCAGCCGTTCCCCGCGGAGCGGCTCGAACCGCCG